AGCAACCCTCTGAAACTGCATCCCGCGTAGTCTTTAATAAAGAACTGTAATAGTCAATTTTATTTCTTTCGCTTTCTTATAATAACATTCGTGAGAGTATAATTTAAGTCAAGAGATTATAAGAGATTACATATCCTCTTGTACACGTATATCTTTCCTTGGATTAATAATTTATGCATTCAAAAAAAAGTTTAGTAGCATGAAAAATATTTTTTTAAAGTTTTGGTTTGTGTTTCCATTACCTTCCTTAATTTTGTTTTACGTGACTAGCAAAAAATACTATCGACAGACCTCGAGCAAAAATTTAAGCGACAAGCGTTCTCTATCGGTTAGCTTTGCACTGAATATATACGATCATATATAACTCGAGGATGGTCTAACTCCATGGACAGCAAAGTGCTTGTCTGATTGTCTGCTTCATTGCTCGTCTCACTTCACTAATCTTCCAGCAGTAAAGAAACGGGTTTAACGTCGAGTTAAAGAAAACAAGGATAATTGCCATTTGCCATGCGACGGCTGAGTGTGATGGATATATTGTACTATAAGTGACTACAATTCCCACTATATAGTATGGTGTATAACAAATAACTAATACTGACTGTACCCACAGTGCACTGTGCACTGCTTTTCTGTATCGCGCCATGTTCAGTGCATTTGGTTGGCTCGGCTGTTGTTGAACTTGTGCCTGATGATGTCTAAGAGTGCGAAAAATCTTTGTATACGAGGCGAGTGAAATAAGCAGCGAAAGTGGTATCAATATCAAGACACACAAATTGGTTATACGCTGATCGAAAATGATGCATAAAGAGGCGACAAGACAAAAAACCCAAAAGCTAGCTATAATGATATAAATGCGCTTCAAAGTCACAATCTCTTTGTATCTCAGCCCCAACAACAGGGCAAGAAGCCTGTCCACGCTTATTACCGTCATCGTCAGCAAAGAAACTCCACATAATGCTACGCCTGTAATGTAAGTTGCTTCTCTTGCGTAATGACAAAGGCTCCAGTGTTCGTGAACTGCGGACATCAAATAAGTTACATGGAGTGGCTGAGCAACAAGACCAACCAACAGGTCAGTTGTTGCCAGACAGCGATACAAGAGTTTGGACGGCGGGTGAAGGGAAGATTCCTTGTGAAGGGCAACAAGGATAAGAGAATTACCAAGAAATGCTGTGATGGCCAGGAAAATGTTGACTGCTGCGAAAAAACCTAATACTGATTGAAGCCCACCTATCAAAGAGGGGGAGCATCGCAGTTCTTGAAATATTTTTGTCTTTGCTCCACCTCTGGTGAAATTTGTTGTCGACATAATTCTGCATTCGCTTCCCCTGTTCTTGCAACGAGAAATATTACGTCTAAACAGGACACGCCGAACTATGATAACTGAAACTTTTCATATAGACTTCCTCCCTCGCGTTTAATCATTTAAAATGCGTCAGAAATTTGCAACTGTGGGATGCCTCAGGTATGAAACTGATTCTGTTTGAAGCCCAACCAAAGCATAGCAGTTCTTCAATTGTGTTCGTCTGTGTTCTAACTCTTCTGAAATTTGTTGTAGGTTATCTAAGATTGCCACGAGCAATATGTCGTCTAAACAGCCCACATCCAGCCACGATCAATTACACCTCATACTTCAATGAATGATATTTATACACCCTGAGAATTCTTCATTAGTGTTTACTCGTTTAAAATACGTCAGAAAATTGTCTGTTGTGTCCAATTATTGAACCTTTGAAATGCCTCAGGTATGAAATGGAAATAAGTAGAAAATGGAGAGACATCTGTGGTATCATTCTTTTAAAAGAACGACAAACAATCTCCTTTTATCTAGATCAACTTTCACTGATAGGGTGCTAACCTGGTGTCTATATTATTCGTGTGAAGTTCAGACTTGTGTCATTAGTAGCCATGAAAAATTGGAAATGAAAATTTCAAGCTGGCGCGATTTTATTTGGTCTTAGAAAAGTGCGATTTGAGACAATCTGCGAATGCATCAAACAATTTAAATTTAAATTTTGGTCACAGATGTAAACGCATTTTTAAGTGTTTGAATCAATTTGTAATGAAAGCTTTTTTCTTTCCGCTTTTCGTCCCCGGACTGATATTAAAAACAAAACCGTAACACGATGTTATGCCGCGCGCCATCGATTTTTTCAAACTCGTTCTCTACCAGCTTTTTCACTTTCGTCAGGAAAGTTATGATGATTTTTTTAACAAAAACTGTTTTCCCTATTTTGCCTATTTTGGTCAACAAGATAAGAGAAATGGGCGCTAACTGAAAATAAAGGAGGCGGAGAAACCATCAGCCATGATGGCACTACGCGCTCGGTATCCTTTTAATCCCAGAGTTCCATCGGGTACCAAAAAAAAAAATTTCTTTTCCTTTGATGCCAATTTTTATTCCAACTTTACATTTGTCATTTTCGATCTACAATTTTTCTTCCTTTAATGTTAATTCCTTTAGCAAGTACACAGACATCGGTCAGTAATATTTCTGTTTGACGATATGATAAGGAAATTCTCTTTTGTCAGTTTTTGAATGACAGCATAAGCGGTTTAAACGGTATATTTAAATATACTGTCATTCTTTTGGGCCGGTAATTAAGTGCAAAGATTATCCCTGTATTGTGGTGAATTCTGAATTCCTAAAAAGCGTCATGGAACGAGTTCAAGGAAAAAGAAGCGAAAGTTAGGAATAATTAATCACTCGGGTTGGGAGACATAAGATCAATAAAACTTGAAGAAAACACAGACCAGCATTAAACTGGATATATCAAATATTTCAAAAGTTGACAATATTCTTGTCATGAGTTAATCTGTGATAGCATCCAGAAAAATATTTCATTTCAGTTAACGCCAATTGCACAAGAACGATCCCTGAAACCCTATTTCCTACGTAACATTTCAAATAAAAACCTTCTCACTATTGTTTACACGTTTGAAATACGTCAGAAAATTGTTCGCTGTGTCAAAAAAGCTTTTTTTGTGCTTAACTTGTCATGTACATCACGTATGAAATAGGAATAAGAGGCAACTATTCAAAGACATCTTTGAAATTATTGTTTCATGTTGGAACAAACAACCCCGCTTTATCTAGCTTGCGAGAAGACACTCAATATTATGGCTTCAATGCGAATTGAATAAGTTTGAGGATGTAAGGCCAAAGATGCAAAGACTAGCTGACAGAAAAACTAGATAAATGACTTAATTAATTGCTAAGAGATGCGTCAATCCTTCCTCAGAAAGAGTTCTTTCCCAGGGAATTTTCTTTTCAGTACAGCGACGGTAGCTTTAAAATTAATCAATCAAAAAGATGTTTGTCGCAACCAGCTGTTAATTTTACTAGATAACGTTTCAGTTTAATTTCAAATTAGCATTGAAAGGGAATTTCCTTGACAAACACAAAGACATGGGCTATATTTTTTGTTTTACAATGCGATATGAGACTCCTAGGTCTTAAAAGATCTATTTTATCACTTCTTTAATGGGCGAAATAAACATGCCGTTTTTAGGCCGATAATTAGATGGTATGGTATTGAAGCAAATTCTGAGCTCATAATAAAGCTTTGAAAACGAATAAAAGAAAACCTTTGAGGAACTTTGGGACAGCAGTTAATCACTCGGAAATGGAGGAAATAAAATCCGTAAAACTCAGAGACAACCTAAAGATACACCAGCAACAAACTCAACATATGGTGACCTCTATACAATGATACGAAACTTGTTTTTCGCCGTTGCCAATATAACTTCAGCACATCGATCGATCTGTAAAAAAATTCCATAACAAACAGAGATGATCAATTTTATTTCATACACTTTCGAAACTTTCAGTTAAATATACAAGTAACAGAAACTTCTTCACATAAGCTTTACGGGTAATTTTCTGATCACAAAACAAACAAATTCTAGACTTAAACTGGACTGTTTCTTTTGGCAATATGGCGTCAACATCAACGTCAAGCGCTTTCTTTTAATTACAGGAAAAAATGAGTCGAAATAGTTTTCTCGAAACACACAACATCGGCCTCAAACACATCTCTTAAACTACTCTTCGAAGTTTTATCCGATACCTTCATACTGCTAAGAGGAGAAAACATGAAAGTAAAATATTTGCATATCTTTTCTTCGATTATGACATCTTGTATTTTAGCATAGCGGCAAGAAACCATATTTTTGAAAACACATAGCTAGGGTTACCTAGGCCGTCTCTAAATTGTTCTCAGAGATATAAAGACTATCGAGAGCAGCCTGTGCAACTATTCTATTGAGCCACTTATTTTCTTTTATCCAATAAGGTATTTAACGATTGCTCTCCAATAATAATCGTGACTTAATAAGTCTGCTTTCAAAGTCTGAGGAACAACTCGAAGACTCCTAACTAAGCAAAGTGCTTCTCTAATTGTCTGCTTCACGGCTTGTCTCACTTCACTAATCTTCCAGCAGTATAGGAACGGGTTTAACGTCGAGTTGAAGCAAAGTAAAATTACTGCTACTTTACATATGACGACTTGGAGAAGTGAATATTTTTTGGTATGAGCGATCACGATGTTCACTATACATATTGGTGCATAACAAACGACCAATGCTAACTGCACCCACAGTGCACTGTTTACTGCCCTTCTGAATCGCGCCATGTTCAGTGCATTTGTTTGGCTCGGCTGTTGTTGATCTCGTACTTGTGCTTGATGATATCTGAGAGTGCAAAAAATCTTTGTGTACGATGCGAATGATATTACCAGGCAAAATGATATAACTAGGGAGCTGTAAATAAAGATTATACGGTGATGAAAAAATCCACTTAAAGAGGCGACAAGGGCAAAAACCCAAAAGGTAGTTACAATAATATACGCGCGGTTCAAAGTGACAATTTTTTTGTATCTCAGTCCCAACATCAGGGCGAGAAGTCTGTCCACGCTTATGGCCGTCATCGTCATCAAAGACATCAAACTCAATACACGGCCTGTGGTGCCGGCTGCGTCTCTTGCGTATCGACAAAGGCTTCAGTGTTCCTGAACCACGGACATCCAACATAGAGCATCGAGAGGCTGAGCAACAAGACCAACCAACAGATCAGTGGTTGCCAGACAACGATACAGGAGTTTTGACTGCGGATGCAGGCAAGATTTCTTGTGAAGGGCAACAAGGATAAGAGAATTTCCTGCAAATGCTGTGATGAAGAGGAGAATGTCAACCGCTAAGAAGCAAATTGATAGTTGTTGTTGAAGCCCACCCACCAAAGAGGAAGAGCATAGCAGTTCTTTAAATGATTCCGAGCGACTTCTACCGCTACTGAAATTTGTTGTCGACATAATTCTGTCTTCGGCGTGTTCCTTTTCTTGTAGGTTTCTGTTCTTGCAACGGAAAATGGCAGCAAGGATTACTGAAGCTTAACTTCCTAACTAACTGTCGCATAGAGACTTACTCATTCAAAATGCATTAGGAAATTTTCTACTGGGTCAAAAAAATTTTATTTTTCTCGGGAATCTTTGGGTGCCTCTTTTATGAAATAGCAATTAAAGGCACATATAGAAACATCTGTTATTTCGGTGTTTTTACAGTGCGGCAAAGAGCCGCTCTTTACCAGAATCAAATCCCATTAAAATAGGATGCTAATCAAGGGTCCATATCTTTCGTGTGAAGTTAAGACTTGAATCATTATCAGCTACGGAAAGCTAAAAATGCAAAAGCTCAAGCTGGCGATGTCAATTATTCTATGAGAAAAACTGAATTCGTGACAGTCACCTAATGTATTACGTAGACTACATAACTATTCAAAATTAATGTACAGCCACACATACAAACTTGTTTCAAAATATTTGAAACTAACTGTGTATCAAATTGCGATTTGTAGCTTTTTTTCTCTCCGTTTCGTATCCGAATAGAACTAAAAACAAAATAGAAACAGGATCAAGTTATCACGCCATTAAACCATTTCCTGTAACTGTAAAAGGAAAGTTATTCAATTTTTGTTCCTGTGATTGTCTTAGGCAATTAGCGACTCTTCTTTGGTGATGACAATTAGTTTCTAATAATAAGGTAAACAGGATAATTTATTAATCGAGATGGAAAATGAAGGGATGGGCGCTCGAAGCTTATCAATAATCGATAAAAAATTTACAACTGTTCCAGGAGAAGCTTCGTCTTTACCAACTCTGACACATATTTCAAACTCTCTGAAATTGCCTCGTGCTTTTTATCGCACACTGGGGAACGAATAAGTTGTTAAGGAGACACCTGCTTGCAAAGACAGATTCGGACTTGTATTAGGCATCGTTTACATGAACATACTATTAAAAATATATTTCAAATAGCAACATTTTCGAAAATGGGTTTATATATATACTTATATATCAACTTTAGATCTATCGTTTTATTTTTGGACAGGAAAATTGCTGATAGACAAACCAACAACTTATCAATTTCTCCGAATGGCGACTGCAGCTGATGAAACTACTAAAGCGTTTGGGTGGGCTGCGACAAGTTTTTAATCTCAAAGAATGTCAGTTTTAGTACAAATAAGCACTAAAAGGTAATTTCGTCGACAAACAAATAGGCATCAGCTATATTACTGTTTGAGTGCCCATTATTAAATTGAAATATTCTGCCTGTATTGAACACAGTACTGAACAATAACGAGGAAAAGTTAGCCTAGAGACCCTATGATCTAGTTTTCTTACTTCCTACGTCTGGTTAGTTAGAAAATAAAAGTGTTTTTGTATCAAGAAATCTCTCATATAAACGGCAGGTAATTTTGCAATGCTCTGGGGCAATTGTCAAAATTTTCCTTTCATCACAACAGTAACAACTTAATACTGAAGTGAAGAAAACAATTTATAAGTGGTGGTCGAAAACCAATGGAAATATGCTAAGGAATTATCAAAACTCGTCGCACAGTTGTTCAATTCTACCTTCGTCAGCAACATTTACTTCAAAACTCCCGTTTACTCTTTGAAAAGACTATTGACAAAAGCTCGACGTACAACGATTCTACTGAACTTCTTATTTCTTCTGCTTAATCAATGACATTTTTTACGAGCGCTCCCTAATAACAATCGTGACTTAATGAAAGTCTTATAAAACCAAACCGAGGAGGAGGTAACGCTACGGACAGCAAAGTGCTTCTCTGATTGTCTGTTTTACTGCTTGTCTTACTTCCCCAATTTTCCAACAGTTAAGAATGGATATAACTTCAAGTTAAAGTGAAGTAAGACAACTGATGTTCTCCATTTAACGACTAAGTGTCATTGATATGTTTTACTATAAATTGGTGCGCAACAAACAACTAATGCTAACTGCACCCGCAGTGCACTATACACGGCCTCTCTGTATCGCGCCGACGGACTAGCGACTGCATCTTAACCAATAAAACAGTGTGTGCTAATTAAGATATAAAGCACGCAGGAAGGTGAGGAGACATCATCCAGCCATGACACCCTCAGCCTCGTTCTGAGTACGAAATTTCATCAAATACTAAATTATTCATTTCGTAACATATTTACTTTTCTTTCGACTGTACGTTATTTATTTTAACCTTTAATCCGTTATTTTATTCACCGATGGGGAAATAACGGAGAAGCAAACCAAACGAGCGCTTTCATTGATAAAAAAAAAAATGCAGCAACTTATTTGTTTCTTCTTAAGAAGTTCTTTTTCCGCCAATTCTCCTTCCCATTAATCTCCACTTTAATTATTCCGAATAGCGACTGCAGCTTGACTAGTAGACAGTAATAAATGAGCAACACAGCGGTCAAATGATTACGCATGCGCTTGTAGATAGGTAATTTGCCTTTGTAAACAATGAGAATCTAAATGATGCGTAGTTTTTCTCAGTTTCTTGATAAATTTAAAAGTTTCTACGGCCTTAGACTTACACATATTGTTGTTTTAGACTTGACCCATGTTGTGCTATTTTGCACTTTCGTACTTTCTTTTACACTTTGCTTGGCGGCGTAATGAAGTCGTAAGCTTGGCTGTGCTGGCAAAAGGTAGGAGAAAGGTTCTGTAATTTGCCTTCATCGCCGGAACAAGGTTTCTGCGTTAAAAATAACTTGAGATATCTCACTATAAAATAATACCAATATTTAAGCTTTCTCCGAAATCCCTCTTTCAACTGTGTTACGCATTCAATTTTGAATAGTTTGGAATTTAACCTTTCCTTCTTCACTTCCGCTATTTGCCATGTACCTCAATCAGTAAAATTTAGCTCAAGTACAAATTAGCACTAAAGTCGTATCCCTTGGCAAACATCAGCTATATTACTGTTTTCAAAACAATAAAGGAACTCGATTGCGACTTTTTTTTAAGTAAAGAACTAAGCAGTATATTTAGATATACTGCTATTTCTAGGCCCCATAATGAAATTTGGTCAATCCTGAATTCCATAAAACTTTGTGAAACAACTTGAAAGAAATATAGAGGAAAATGGTAAACATAGAATTAATCACCACTTGGAGACAACTGAAAAATACACCATGAACAAACTGGAAATAAAGCAACCCTTTCTATGTGATATTTTTAAAAGTCGATATACTTTTTTTCATTCAATATTCCTTTTTCCCTTTAGCAAATAATTTCAGCAAAACGGTGAACCTGAGAGAGAACTTTATACTAACCGTTTTTGCTTCAATTTTGTTCCTTACACTTTCTTATAATAACAAACGTGAGTATGATCCTGCGCGTGCATATCTTTTCTTAGATTATGAATTGATCTAATCATGATAATGTGAGGTAGCACTAAAACTATTTCTTTAAATTTATTGTTAGTTATTCGGTTGCCTCCCCTTTAGTTGTTAAGGTGCGAAAAATACAATCGAGAGATCTCGAGCAAAGATATATATCATGGTGTAGCTGATTGACGAGCGTTCCCTATCAGTCAGTTTTGAACTGAAAGTACCAGTACGATCGGGTAAAACTCAAGATGGTCTAACTCCTTGGACAGCAAAGTGCTTGTCTGATTGTCTGCTTTACTGCTTGTCTTACTTCACTTATCTTCCAGCAGTAAAGAAACGGGTTTAACGTCGAGTTAAAGTAAACCAAGACAACGGTTATTCCCCTTAGGATGACCAAATGCGATGAATGTGTTTTACTGTGTGCAATCACGGTTACCACGATAAAGAATGGTGCAAAACAAACAACTAATGCTAACTTCACCCACAGTGCACCATACACTGCTTTTCTGTATTGAGCTATGTTCAGTAAATTTAATTGGCTCGGCTGTTGTTGAACGGGATCTTCTGCCTGAACCTGATGATATCTGAGAGTGCGAAAAATCTTTGTATATGATGCGAGTGAAATAACCAAGCAAAGAGGTATAGTTATGAGACGGTGCAAAAAAGTTATACGATCATCAAGTAAAGCGCATAAAGAAGAGACAAGAGATAAAATCTAGATGGTAGCTACAATGATATATGTGCGCTTCAAAGTTACAATTTGTTTGTACCTCAGCCCCAACAACAGGGCGAGAAGTCTGTCTACGCTTATGGCCGTCATCGTCATCAAAGACGTTAAAAACAATGCAGAGCCCGTGATATAGGCTGCGTCAAATGCGTATCGACAAAGGCTCCAGTGTTCCTGAACTAAGGACATCCAGTAAGTAGCATAGAGAGGCTGGGCAACAAGACCAACCAACAGGTCAGTTGTTGCCAGAGAACGGTACAAGAGTTTGGACGGTCGGTGGAGGGAAGATTCCTTGTGAAGGGCAACAAGAATGAGAGAATTTGTAAGGAATGCTGTGATGGAGAGGAGAATGTGCACTGCTGAGAAAAAAGTAAATATTTCATGTAATCCACCTCCAAAAGATGGGGTGCATAACAGTTCTACAAATGTTTTCGTCTGTGTTCCACTCCTAGTGAACTTTGTTGTCGACATTGTTCTGTAATCGTTTCCTTTTTCTTGTACTGAGGCAACTGGCAATGAGAAATATTTCGTTTAAACACCCCAAGCTGTGCAACGATGACTGAACCTTCCTTCAATAAACACATAGAGACTTCCTCATCAGCGTTTGCTTGTTCAAAGTGCGTAAACAAATTGTCTGTTGTGCCAAAGAGTTGATTGCTTTTTTCCGGAACCCCTCAGATTTAAGCTTCTTTTTAATATTAGAATTCATTTACATTTTAATGGTTTGATGCAAAATTTTATACAGATGATATGGACACTTGACTAGCTCTCTATCGATGAAAGATCATTAGGAAACGTGACCAAAATAGGAACAAATGAGCTTTAAGAGTCAAACGTACAGACAGACATCTTTGATACTAGCAGTATTTCACAATTATTTTAAACGTCGTCTTCTCGGGTAGAAATTCACCTTTAGCTGAGTGGAGAAGATGGAGTCTTACGTTTAATCTCGGAAAATTGGAAGTTTTGGAAAGAATTAATTAAGAAAAGGAAAGTGTTTATTTAAATTCATACACCCCCTTACACAATGTTTGTTATTATCAATGACATTTTCAAACATTCATAAGCAATGTGGATATTTTTCTAATGACAAAACAAATTCAAGTTGAAAACTGTTTATAACAAGGACATGAGAATTGCTAGGAGATGCTGTGATGGGAGGAGAAAGTACACCGCAGAGAAGGAAATGGCTGATTGATGCCGGCAACTCATCAGCCAGAAAGGTTGAAAAGCCACTTTTCAAACCTGGTGTTCCTTTGTGTTACACCTCCTATATAATTAGTTGTCGCCATGCAGTTCAATATACGGTCGTTTTCTTTTCCCCGCTAGTTACCTGTATTTGAAACGACAGATATTTCCTATCAACGGCACCTGGCCGGTCACGATCACTCAGACCCTTATTTCTTAAGGCCCGGCCACACGCACGCAATATTTCAACGCAACATCTTGCAACATTATTATAAATAAAGACACTCCGCAAATGTGTAGCTTGTTGTGAAGGTGGCGTCGCTTGCGTATCGACAAAGACTCCAGTTATCGTTAGCCAAGGACATGAAATAAGTAGCCATCATAGACTGGCTAAAAATACCAACTAACAGGTCAGTCGTTGCCAGACAACGATACAAGAGTTTGGACGGCGGGTGAAGGGAAGATTCCTTGTGAAGGGCAACAAGGATAAGAGAATTCCCAAGAAATATTGTAATGGAGAGGATAATGTAAACTGTAGCTGAGAAATGGATTGATTGTGGTTGTAATCCACCTGCCAAAAAAGGGGAGCACCGAAAATCTTCGAATGCGTTCGTCTGTGCTCCATCTTTGGTTAGATTTGTTTCCGCCATCATTCTGCTGTCGTTTTGTTCTTTCCTTCAGATTACGTGTGATTGCAGCATAAAATGTTGCGTCTGGAGAGCACCTGCCAGCCTTGAAATCACTTAAACTGCTTTGATATGAATCATCGTATGAAAACTTTTTCAATCGCGTTTACACGTTTGAAATGCTCGGGAATATTGTCATTTGTTTCCAAAAAAAAATGGTGAGCCATTTTTTTAAAGCCCTTCTTTTGATGAGTAGGTCTGATCATTTTGCAAAGTTTGTTTTTCACAAACGATTGATCCTTAAAAGAGAACTTTACGAGAAACAGCAATAATCAGGTTTGATGTTAGTAAAGTAAAACGTTTAATCAATGCCATTCACCACAAATTGTTGTTTGGTTAGAAATCCTTGATTTCATATTTCCCATGTCAGGATTTTTGATAAAAACGAAATCTCGAGTCAATATTTAGTTCTACCTTGGTGAGATGTTTCTTGGTTCGATCGTCATCAGGAGATGCTTGTATAATTCTCCTTTGTTATTTCTGCAGCTGTCTTTGTGAAATGGTTACGATAATCTGGTGTTGGGTAATGATAAACACCCTCAAAATAAAAACAATCCTTTCTCATCACCTGTGTTCTAGATGATGTCTTCATTTGCACGAAAAATCTTTCCGGGTTTTCATTGATTCAAACAATGTTATCAATGAGCTTCTTACAAGTTGGTGAATCCATTGGCACCATTTTGACCATCTATCTACCAAAAAATGCTATAAATATAAGTCTTCTCTACTTTTGCGAAATATTTTGCCATCAAACAAAATATTAGCCGTTCAATATTGAAGGGATTTCTTCAAGAATAAAGTGTCTGAAATGTTTTCTAGCCTCACGAAAGTTCTTTAGACAAAGTTTAGTCGTTGTTTTACAAAACTGCGTTCTAAGCCATCTTCAATTTAGTTGAACCTCTTATCTTGGTACAAATTTTTGCGAATAGTATCTAGAGGGTCGAGATCTAATAAAGGAAGGACATTTATTATGTTTTATCTACCCTCTTATAGAGAACACCTGCTTTTCACTGCTTGCATAAAACCATGGTTTGGAATAGACATTGTGTAAATAACCGGCCCCTACATTTTTATGAAGCATACCATTTATTTTGCTACAACACTTTTCAGTATTGATAGTAAGTTTCCTTCTAACTTATCAGTGAGTTTCATATCAATATAACCCATTGAGTACACTATTAATCAAAACATGATTATGATTAATTGATGATTAATAATAAATTTTCAGAAACAAACGACAATCGTTAAGAGAATTATCTTAGGACATTGTAATTTTACCATTAATTGGTCCTCATTAGTAATTTGATAATAAATTTTAAGCAACAAAATATTTAAGAGAATTCTCAGTAAGAGCCTGTAATGTTAAACTGTTTCTCATTCGCTTACTTACTAGCTATTTACAGTTTATAGAAGTATCATCACACATTGATAAGCATTATGGACTTTTTCGCTCAAAATTACGATTTCGTGTCTTTAACAAGCCTTACTTTGAACGGTTCACGCGGTAATATTGAGTCAAAGTCAAACGCTTTATTCCATGTAGTGAGGTTAAAAATTTGAAATTATTTCACCATCCGTTAGATAAGAACTTAAAAGTCACTCCTTCACTACCCTTTCACAATCAATTTTATCCTATACATGTACTTTCGTACCACTAAGATTGTAAAACGAGTAAGTAAAATCAAACTAGCTTCCCGTTTTTTTCCCTACCTTGCGTGGACGGCATTTTTTATGTCGATCAAATCATAATTTGTTGTATTCAAAATAACTGCCGTCGCATAAAACTTACTTGTCCCAAGTATTGCCGTTAGTGATACGACTCTCTGGCCTTTAGCTATACGTGCACTTGGAAATAAACTTTATCCACAGAAGCCGCGATTGAAGCCACTGGTTGTTAATAAGATAAGGAATTTTTTTCGTATCGAGCCAGCTGTAGTCAAACGCCTCCCTCAGTTAAGATAAATACCATTCTTAAATTCCTACGATATCGTTAACGTGTATATTCCATGATTTTTGCTTTTTCATGCACAAAATGAGCCATGTTCATCCATGATGAGAATATCTAAACAGCTTTGTGCAGCGACTTCATTAAGCTTCTTACTTCTTCCTATTCAATGATGTACCCGACAGGATGCGTTATGCGTTATCTAATAGCGTCGTCACGTTACATACTTGCTTGAAACAACTAGGTAAGAGTTAATGGAAGAACTAACCCCGTGGACAGCAAAGCGCTTGTCTGATTGTCCGCTTAACTGCTCTTCTTACTTCACTAATCTTCCAGCAGTAAAGAAACGGATTTAAAGTCGAGTTAAAATAAACCAGGGTATTCACTATTCCAAGAGCGACGACTAAATGTGATGAATCTCCTTTTATATGAGCCATCAAAATTCCCACTACACTCATTGGTACATAACAAGCAAGTAACGCTAACTGCACCCACAGTGCACTGTACACTGCCTTTTTGTATCGCGCCATGTTCAATGCATTTGGTTGGCTCGGCTGTTGTTGAACATGACTTTGTACCTGAGCGTGATGACGGCGAAGGGCACAGAAAATCTTAGCATATGAAGCAATCGAGATTAATAGGCAACATGAGATGACAATTCGACCAAACCAAGGCGCTATAAGAGAATCTAACACGTTGCATAGAGTAGCGACAAAGGTTACAATCAAAGAGTAACGACAATGATATATGTGCGCTTCAAAGTTACAATTTGTTTGTGTCTCAGCCCCAACAACAGGGCGAGAAGTCTGTCCACGCTCATGGCTGTCATTGTCAACAAAGACATAAGAGATAATCCATACCCTGAAATGAAGGCTGGTACCCATGCGAATCGACAAAGTCTCCACTCTTCGAAAACAACCGACATCCAAAGAGCAGCAGTGAGAGGCTGGCTTACAAGACCAACTAACAGATCACTTGTTACCAGACAACGGTACAAGAGTTTGGACGGCGGATGGAGGGAAGACACCTTGTGAAGTACAACGAAGATCAGAGAATTCCCAAGAAATGCTGTCAGGGAAAAGAAAATGATGATTGCTGACAGACGCAATGAGTATTGTTCAAATTCGCCAGCCAAAGATGAGGAACATACAAGTTCTTCAAATGTGTTCACTTACGTTCCATCTCCCATTGAGTTTTCTGCCGCACTGAGAGCACCTGCGCAGCGTTGATCATTTAAACTTTATTTTTTTCAAAATAACCATATGAAAACTTTTTCAGTCGCGTTTAGTCGTTTGAAATGTTTGGAAATACAGTCATTTGTGTCCAAAAAATGGTGAACCATTTTTCTTAAAGCCTTACTTTTGCCTCAGCTATGATTTATCAAAACGCGATAAGAACAAAACATCCACGAATGTTAATATTTTATGGCGCGATGGACAATCCTTCGTTACTCAGACGAGCAAGAGCTGTCAATTTCTTCACAAGAGTCACATTAAATATAACTCTTTGTAAACTTCTTTGTAACGGGTAATTCTGTCACGTTATTCCATCGATAAACTCTAGAAGTTCCCTCCAAAGATGAAATAGTTTTTTTTTACAGCGACTTTTCCTTCAAATTATCTTTGTTAAATAGGAGAGGCAGGATGTTTGTCCCCTAATAGTGTTAAGCGTCACAACTACACCACATGTATATTCAACTTGTTAGGTTCAATCTTTGAATGACTTTGCGCTAAGAGGTAACGTTAAAATAACATATTGTGCTTTTTTTTTCATCCCACAGTTTAAGGCAAAAACCAGCCTTACTAAGGAAAAGTGACGTTGATAGCCGCATAAATGAGTAAGTGTTGTTTAAATTATGATCAGCTTCTGGAAACCAAATTTGAATGGGAAGGCGAAACGTCAATCAGTTGGAGACAACTTGAATGCTGACTGTGGACTTCTAACATAAAAGCAGGGGCAAAAATGATTTAGTTTCTCGACACCACTGTCCTTCACTGAGTTCAAAAGCTCATGACAACAAGAGGACTCTGTAAGAACCGTTTGCAGTCAATTTCATTTCACATATGCACTGCTGAGAAAAAAATAAATCTTTGATGTAATCCACCTCCAAAAGATGGGGCGCATAATATTTCGTTTAAACAGCACACGCCGAGCGACGATGACTGAAACTTCCTTCCATAAACACATAAAGACTTCCTCACCAGCGTTTGCTCATTCAAAGTGCGTAAGCAAATTCTCTGTTGTGCCAAAGAGTTGATTTCTTTTTTCCAGAACCTGTGACGAGCCTCTTGTATGAAATAGCAGTAAGAGGCAAATAGAAAAAGGATTATTTTTCACAAGGCGAAAAAGAATCCTTTTTCAGCTGATCGACCGTTGGAACCTGTGGGGTGGCTCACGGATAAAATAGCAATATACAAAACGATTTAATCTAGTAGAGTACCTTTGTCTAATCCGAAGAACTAGTGATAATTCTATGACTCCAAAAGACTTAAACCCCTTAACTCCCAAGATCTGATTGTTAATTCTCCTCTCTCGCTGCTACACATTTCCTTTTAACGAGCTGTTCAATGAATTGATTTATGCATACGGTATTTCATTTTCGTCAAACGCTCAAACGTTAATTCATATGATCAAATTTCTTTCAAACAAAGAACACTCATCAAGAAGAAAACGGCTTTGAATGGAACATGAACTCGATAGACTGGAAAAACGTAAAATAATAAAAAAAAATGTAAAAATAATAAAAATAAAGTATAACTAATCAGATCGTATGAAAGTGAGAGTCATGTGAAGCGCTCGAGAAGTATTTTAGTAATGTTAGGGTGAGTGTATACGAAGTAAGCTGAGTTTTTGGGAGATTTCTTCTCCAAGTCTATTAAGTATATTTTGGTTGCCTTTAGCCTCGAACCAGCTGCAGGCATTGTAATCAACAATGTATGAATAACTGGGTTTAGTTTCTAAGGAAATTGTGGTGCCGCGTCGATGAGGGGTACAACGAGATAATTTGGTTTTATAATCCAACTGCACAAGGTAGAGTTCAAATAATGCGAATATATGTATATACCACATGTATACAGTTGGTTATTTTGTACTGTAAAAAAAACCTGTTTAACCGGTCGGCTACGCACGCTGCGCTTCTCTATCCACTTTGCTTTTCCCGCCTTATGAGAAATGAGCAGAAAGACATGGCGAATAAAAAGCAGTTGGATCATAAATAACCTACTAGACTATTCATTGGTTTGTAGTATTGCCTAGTACTTTCACTCCTTGTTTGAATTTGACGAGCCTGTGGGTAAAGTCAAAATACGGCACACCTCATAAAAATATTCAGGTATGCCGATATTAACGCGATATTTTCCTCCGTTTGAAGGTCATGCTCTTTTTCTGTTACAAAAATGAAAACATTAGGTACACAAAGTGTCCCATCTCAACCCGCCCATGCTACGTATACCTATGTTCTTATAGATGATGTCATGGATCAGGGGGCTGTGCACAAAGAATAACATTAACCAGAAATCTTGGGCTCATTTGATAAGTGTGGTGGTTTGTGGTCTTCGCGAGAGCCTTGTTGATTAAGGTCGAGATTTATCGGGACATGAAAGTTTCGCATTTCATTTTTTGTATTATTTTTAAGTCAAACGTGTTTTTACGGCTCCTTTACGCGCAACGAACACGCTTAACAACTCACGTTCCATCACGTACCATAAAAACAACGTCCAAAGTCCATTAGAATATACCCAATCATTGCACTACGTGAACATTAGGCAATTTTTCACGCGCTTGAATTGTATTCCATCAACCAAATTCGCATCTACGCGCGCCCGTGTATTATTAACTATTTATGACTCATTTCCTCGGGAAAGTTCACAATGTGTCATCAACTTTTGGTTTTCCTGAGAATGTCACGCAATGGTAAAAACATCATTATGGTCGTGAAACAAAAAGTGAGTCATTTGCATCCTTTTGGTGGCAGCGAGAAGTTTTTAACGCTCGCCATCCCCAGCTCGAAGCGTTGCTTCTAGGTTATCGCGAGCTAAATTTCAGAGGAATAAAATCAAATATTCCTACGTCGTGAGACCACTAGGAAAAGAGTACCCTCTCGACACCGTTCGTGTTATAATTCACCTTCTGAAGAACTCATCAAAATATCTTCGGTCTTGCAAAATTTTACAAATTAAACAGGTTCTTAAGGACGAATTCAACGCTCCATCGCTGACGAAACGTCGTTTTAAGGTAAGCTCTGAAATAATTAATTAGACCACGTGGATTTTTGTCTCACCCACTCGCAGTGTTCCATCAATAACATTGCCAGTTTGTATTGACAAAGAAAAACTTATTACATTATAAAATATAGACAATCCGGTATGAGGCGTGGGATCTTGGTTTCATATAGGTCTTTCAGCAAAGTGAGCCGGCAGCAACACACTAGACCATATGATCGCAGACAAGAGCAAGTTATGAAAATGTTATCGATTATTGATTATAAACTACCGTCTACGTGTTACATCCTGTTCGCATTATAGAAATTGAAAGAGGAAGCAGTTGTCACAAACACACGTTTCGAGGGGAAGATGTAAAACGCTCCTTGCTTATTAAATGATACAAAACTTGGCTGGTATTTTCAGTCAGAGAAAAATTTAAGGCGACAAATCAAAATACGAATTCTTTAACACATCATTTGACTTCTTTTGAAAAAATGTAGGTTATATTAAGAACACAGCGTAACTGAATATTTATCAGCACACCTGTAGAAAATGAAAATAAGCTGAAATCCAGCTCACACATAGATTTTGGAATAAATGATCGTCTTCTTTGCTCTTTTTTTTGTCCTACATAAATTAACGAGTGAACCACATGCTCCTCGTTCTTGTTCGTCATAACTCGAGTCGGAAATTGAATGAAAATTTGAAATGAGATTGCCTAATTGCATTTGCTCGTTCCACATAAAATCATGAGTGCTACCCGTTGGTGATTTTCATTGAAGGCATTCTGGGTGGCGAATATTTATCTATAAGTTTAGTCTGAAATGACAGAAAGAAATAGATCCTGAACGATCTCGGCAGGAAAATTAAAGATCTTGGAAAGAAAATAAAAGACCCCTGAAGATCTTGACAAGAAAATGAAAGATCCTTGAAGATTTTGAACATTAATTTTTTTATCCCACACATTTCTTTATAATTGTTTCTTGGCCAAGGCCTGGAGAGGTCAAGTATGATCAATATCTCGGATTTCTGGTAATGGAAAACTACCTTGTTGTCTCAAATAGAGTGAATTAATACTTGGAAACGAAATTACCATCAGAAAAGCAAGCAGAAGGAGGCAGTGGGGGAGGGGGTGCACAGATTTTTGGGATATATATATATCTTTTTATTTTGCTTCCCTGACCTAGTCTACTGATTACAAATTTTATTTCGCCAATTAAATTCCATTTTGCTTAATTAAACTTCGCTCCATCACGTTTCATTTCCTTGTAAACAACCGGCATTTAATCACGTATTCTAATCGCAATGTCCAACCCCACTGGAAAAAAATTCACACTAACTAGTGCTACCGATAGTGAACTTTTAACGCAATTCTCCCGCGTTTTGACTTTTTCTACGAATAAAGTCGGCTTTAAACTACCTTGAACTTAATCCAATCGCGTGTTTATTCCTTGTAAACAACCAGCATTTTATAAAGTATTTCACACACAGTGGGCAAAGGCCAGATAGGCAACAACCAATCAAGGAGCCCTCTCTCAAATATTATCCTTTTCTCTTGTGAAATGTATCTTCATTGGTCGAGATCGCAATATATCTTTGGTTAGAGTCTATTGGAGATACAACAGAGTTTCAGTTTGATTTTCTTAGTAGAATTACATGAAATTATATTTTTCAGGCATCTAACTGTAGACGAATAATTTTGATTTTCTCTCTGGGAGAGGAA